AAAGAGTGCCTCATTCTTCCACTCATTCGGTACATGGGAAAACAGACTGCTAGAGGATCAAGGCTCCCATTTACAAAGCATTAGGAGAAAAAAAAAAAGGGTATCGAAGAAATGCTGACGATCTGCCAATAAAAGTTGATTTTTTTTTAACGTTTGCAAGCAACTCTGCACATAGTTTGTAAACTTTGTTTCATCTTTCCTTTTAGGGTGTGTTGATGTACGGCAACACGAAGCTTGAACTTTGTCATAGCTGTTTTTTTTTTTTCTGAGCAATGTATTTATGATGAAAACGTGAAAATCGACGCGTATTTGAGAATGAACCCGAATTTTTGTTTTTGAAAACATTCCTGTAGTGAGATCGACCATTTTTGGTTGGGTTTAAAAGATGACGGGAAATTTCTTTCATATTTCTCTATGGAGGAGTGGCTAATAAGGTTGCTTCAGGCTTTAGCCTCGGCATCTCCTCCTGGTTCCAAAGGGCCTTTGCTCGGACAACCTTTTCGTTACAGCTTCAGACAGTTCCACATTTCCGTGCACTGTTCAAGCTTGCAAAATAAAGCTAAAAAGGTGCAGATGTCAACGTATATGGAAGACGGACCTAAGAAGAGAACTGACATTTATTACAGAAGGCTTTTGCAATGGTATGCTCTCGTGAGAGTATCATATTCATACGTCGCACATAATATGGTGGAACTAATTCTATCGTTTAGGTGGGAATCCAAAGCAATCTGTTTTTTTTAAGGCAATAAGTGTGGGGTGCACGTACGGTCTCTTCTTTTCACTTCATCCTCTTCTGCGGAGTTCGTAAAAGTAACTGACGACCACCACAGCAGCAGCAACTACAACTCCGACCGCGCTCTGCGCCAACACTGTTGTATCTGCCACCGCCTTAGCCCCCGAGGGGCTAGGGTTGAACCCGAGTTCCGATAGTTTCTTGTGTGACTCCGCATAGTCCCTGAAGAACGCATCTTCATCCTGTTTGGTTTTTGAAGCAAGATGATAACTTTGTTTTTACTGATTATGTTACTCAAAAGCTGATATCAATTATGAAGCCAGAAAATCTCCAGGGTTTACCTTCGCATAAAGCTCAACATAGCCACGGAACGCAGGGTCATCCAACAAAGCGTTGTCAGTTGGAAGCTTCAATAAGCCCTCTGATTCTCCTTTCAGCAATTCCCTGGCATTCCAACAAGTAAATGAGTTGATCCCTTTCCAGAATCTCTCTCTTTTTAAGAATGGAGAGAATTAAAACTTACACGAAGTAAGAGTTATCAAACTTCAGAGGCTCTTGTGTCCATGGCCCGTCAAAACCCGACCTCTCTGGATGAGCTCTTCCCTATACATCCGGAACCCAACGTTATCCGCTATACCCTTGCAAAACCATTGGCAAAAGGAGGAGAGTGAATAAACCCCAAAGAGCCTACCAAGGTATGGCCACCTGAGAGTGCCACGATATCCTTGTCGGACAGTCCCATCCGGTGGAATATATCTCTAAGATGTCGGACACCTATAAGAAAATACACAGACGGAATTACAGACCTTTGGCGAGACTAGAGTAAAATTCATAGAGAAGATTTTCATGCACAATGGGGTAAAACTAAGACCCCAGAATATGAACACTCATATTAGTTCCACCATATATTTGCTTCTGCATCAAAACCAGCTACTTATTTTCAGTAAAATATTTCAGTGTTTGTGATAATCGAAAAAATTTATTCTACCTTGCTTAGCATCTGGAAGTCTTCCTTCCTTGGGGCAGACATTTGAATCCTAACAGAGAGTGGGTGACATCCAGTTAATACAGTTAATTGCTTTGAAAGTAAGCTATTTATACAGTCCTAAAAGGCTGAGCGAATATACTTTTCTGCCAGGAACAAAACTGATGTCAGGCCCGCCAGTAACCTCAACTGCTACAACACCAGCAAGCTGAAACACGAGAACATCGATAATGCCATTATTCAGATCCAAGACTTGAATACCTATAAGATTCGACCGCAATGATAGGCAAACTAGAAATTATGATCACCTGGTAAAGGTCCGCATATGAAATTTTGGGATGTTTACCCTTCACGGCCTCTGCAAATACCAAAGAAAGCATCTCTCACCAACGGATCAACAAAGGACTCTAGACTACCAAACCACGAATCTCATTGCATGCAATTCAAGAAATGTCATTGTCAAAACAAAAGAGCACAAGCCACAGTATCTGAAATCTCTTGGCACCTAAAAACGGCAAAACCGTACACAACCAAAAGGAATAGCAAAATGAACGTCTATTTCCATTTCGTTTGACCTTTATCTCGAATAAACAAACGTATCATCAAATTGAATCTAACAATAACTGAATCTTGAATACAACCAAGGACAAAGGAGAAAAAACCTACCACAGAGATCGAGAGCGATTTTCAATCCACTATTGGCACCATGCGTGAACTCTTCTTCGTTCCTAATCGAACCATTAGGTCCACCGGTCTTCGTCTTCGCATCATAGGTTCCAGCATCGTGCCACCTTCACATCGGAACACGCAAAATCGAACAAGCGGAAAAACAAATGGAGTCCAATGCGGAAAACAAATTCCACAACCGATTTCTTGAAACTTCAAAGAAATTCCTCACGTTATCTAAACCACAATTGAGGAAAACAAACAAACCACAAGTACGCAACGAAAACAAGAAAGAAAAGGGAACTTACGCCAATCGGAGCATGATCGGAGCACAGTTCTTGCTTGCGATGAGAGCACGGAGGTCGCGGCGAGCCTTGTCGATCTCCTTCAGATACTCTGCGTCAACCACTGTCGCCGCCATACCTGCTAGTCTCGGAGATTACGAGAGAGAGAAAGAGAGGAGAGAGATTTGCAGAGAGAAATGCGACAAAAAGAGAGAGAGAGGGGGGATATATATTGATATTGGTCAAGGGGAGAGGATTTATTTCCTTTCCTTGAACTTTTCTTATTTTTCAAGTTTTTGTTGAAGTTTGAGCCAAGAGATAGACCACCCAATCGCAACGGGGATTAGATGGACCAAAGGCAGTGATCTGCTACTCTCCGTCATACTTAGCCTCTGATGTACCTTACTTGCACGTCGTCTTCTGTGCAATAAACGGCACGCAGTTGAGCACCGAATAACTCCACCGTCATGCATGTTATTTTTGTCCATTTGTATTCCTTTGCTGGGAAAATTCGATCTCGGGTGCATGATGCATCACGTCGACCCAATGAATTTCGATCGGAAATCATATAAATCGAAACTGTATTAATCAAATAATTCTGTGGATTTTGTGCGATCGTATGAAGATTCGAATTTTTGAACCGTTCATTATTCATACAATGAAATATCAGTCTTTGTCATATGCCTCTCAAGAACCATTCTCTCTGCCAAATCATATGTTCACTGAGTATTGGGATTTGTCTTTCTAGGTGTCCGTCCCTGTTTGTTTCCTGAGAAAATCGTGCCAGAAAATGAGTTGCTAAGAGCTGGATTTGATGTGGGTTTCGGAGGTTAAAGATTTAAGATTTTGATTTTATCGTCCGTTTTTTTTTTGTAACCTTCCATCTGTCATCTTTCAGTAGTGTTGACTGAATAAATCATATTCTCACGTATATGAATCCGCGATACACATGTGAGAAGTAAATCAACCGTAATTGACGGATAACAGGTGAACAGACAGAAAGTCGAACCCCCAACCTCTCGATATATTATATATACTCCTTGCCAACTCACCTGAGATTTTCTCCCGTCATCCGATTCTCTCAGATACTGATAGAAAATTTCAAGATTTTCTCAGAAAATTGACATAATCTAAATTTGTTTAAAAGATGTATCTTTCTGCCCGTTTGGATCGAAAGTTTGATCATTTTAATTGTTTTATGTTTTTCAAATGCTAGTCAAATGTAAACTTAGGCTAACCATCTGCACATTCATGTGATTTTTAGGTCTTCTTTTTCTTTTAAAGTGATTAATTTTCTTTTAAATAAAATGTTGTGGAAATTTTGTGTTTTTTTATACCATTTTCATGTATAAGATCTCATCTTATACATTTGAAAAGGTTTTGATTTTAAGCAATATTAAGGATGTTGTAAGAAAACAAATTGTGTGCATTTTAAATGAATTTTCCGTACTGGCATGAGACATCCCGTTTATACATTTTCCGTACAGCGAGAAGGTTGCACGATCTGCAAATGCACAATTTGACTTTTTCGTATCAAATACTTAAAACCACTTTCTCATTGCTTATTGATAATAGTTAAGACTCAAGACTAAGAACGGTTCAATTATCGCAATTATTTCTTTTTTGTATTTTAATTTGGCGGGGTTAGTTATTTTGGTTATACAAAATCGATTTTGAAATATATATATATAGTGTCTTAATTGAGATTGATCTGAAAAAGATATGTTTTTAAATTAATTTGATCGAGTATTTTAAAATATATGAATTTCTCTTCATAAACTTAATATATATATATATAAACTAAACTTATTATGGTTGTCTGAAATATTAATGACTATTAATTTAATGGCTATCTGAATTAATTTTGGAAAAAGTACAATAGTACTATAAGTTGGGTCCAATTTTTTTTATATAAATAATTTTGAAGCTGAATTCAGTATATAACATACTTAGTCATATTATTATACATATAATTAGAGGGGGAATTCAATAGTATTTTCACTCGTTTTCTCAACTTATTCCATCGCATTAGTGAAAATAATAGGCAGTTTATCATGCAATTAATAGAACCTGCATTGAAAACGAATCAGAGGGTAATCACATGGATTAAATTCTTAACAGCTATGATTTAATTCAACCATAGAATTAGATATAATTAGGATTCTTCCTTCGTAAGCCTTTAACTAATTAGGGTTCTAAGCACAATCTATTAAAAAGGGCAGATGGTGATAATGAAATCTCAAAATATAAATTTATAATTTTGATTTAGGAATAATAACCCAAATCAATAGATTACGAATTCATACGGAACGGCATGTAATAATTAAATGACAATGAAGAGAAAGATTTAAACAGTATAAATTTCGGAAAATCGTATTTTAAACAAATTGAATATATAATGTAATGTTTTTATTGGATTATTTTTTTTAAGTTATCTTAACACAAAAGAAGTCCATTTGCCTTGTTTCGGAAAAGTCTTTGGGAATCTCTCTATAAAAAACCAAAGCCTCTATCGTACGTCCATGTCCGCCATGGAATTTCTGCCATCTGTTAGTGCGTGCTTCTCATCAATGGCGATGCGCCTCTGTTTCTAGGGAATCCTTTTACTCCCTCTTAACAAAGTTCTCCGCCATCTTCACCGTTCGCTCCCCAGCAGCCGATACAATTTTCAAATTAGGGTTTTTAAATCCATACACGGTGTGAATCTCCTGCGAATTCTTCAAATCTTCGTCGAATTCCAATTATAGGGCTCTTAAAGGTACGAATGTCCTCTTATCATGATTCATGCTCGGATGCTGGAGCTTTAGTAGACCTCGAATCAGGGCAGTTGCTGATTTGCTCGAATCGCTGTCGTTTTTTTGTGTGATTATGTTAATTAGGTCATCTGTTGATCCTCAAGCTTGAGAATTTCGAAGTTTCGTTGCGTCTGGCATATCGGTATCCCGAAATCATCATCTGGGTGCTCGCGAGCTCTGTCGGAAAAGTGAGTTTACTGTTTCAAAATCGTTAGGGTTTCTGGGTTCTTGTTATGGACGACGGTGAAGTCGATTTCTCCAACCAGGAAGTGTTCTCGAATTCGAACATGGAGGAGATTCCACCAAGCAGCTGTTCCATGGACACTTTCTTCGATGAGCTTTTGAGAGACTCTCATGCTTGTACTCACACTCACACTTGCAACCCTCCAGGGCCCGAGAATACACATACCCACACATGTTTCCATGTTCACACCAAAATTCTGCCGGCTCAGAGCGAGGAAAAGGTTTCTGCCGACGATACAGCAGAGTCCTCCGAGAAGAAGAAGAACAAAAAGAGACCGTTGGGTAACAGAGAAGCGGTCAGGAAGTACCGAGAGAAGAAGAAGGCTAGAGCTGCTTCGCTGGAGGATGAGGTCATCAAGCTTAGGGCTATCAATCAGCAGTTGTTGAAGAGATTGCAAGGTCAGGCTGCTTTAGAAGCTGAGGTTGCGAGGCTTAAGTGTTTGCTTGTGGATATAAGAGGAAGAATCGAGGGAGAGATTGGGGCATTTCCTTATCAGAAACCGATGAACACAAACTTTCCTTCCTCAAATGTGCCTTTCTCATACATGATGAATCCTTGTAATCTGCAATGTGATGACCAAGCTTATTGCCTTCATCCCGGGGTCGGTGGTGGGAACAGCGGAGAAGGGGCAGCGATGAATGGTGGTCAAGGGATAAGTGGTTGCGACTTTGACCAGCTACAATGCTTGGCTAATCAGAACTCGGTTAGTAAGGAGCTTCCTGCGTGTAGCGTTGGAAATGTACCGGTCAACACCAATTCATACGGTTCTCCTAAGAGAAAAGGTGAAACTTAAGTACCTTATAATCTCTTATCTATTTCTCTGCAGCCCCATATGTTGTATACTGTATGGATTAATCAACTGCTTTCCCCTCAAGTTGTCTGGAAGTTGTGCAGTGTAGCTTGATTTACGGATACTGTCTGTTATCTTGTCGGGTATATATTATTGTATCTGCAACTTTTAGTCTGAGATTGGTTAGTTCATTACCTTACTATGTTTTAGAACTTTTAGAACTCAGGTGAATTTGTTGTTTTCTCTACTCATTTCCTCTCAATGGAGGGCTGAATATAGACTCATAGTCCTCGACATTTCCGTGCAGGTGGAACTCGAGCAGCGAAAGCGGGTTGAGGCATCATCAGACTAATCTGCTTTCACAATGGGTTGATATCATCATCTTTCCAATAAGTAGTAGAATTCAGCTTTCCTTCAGGCCCCTTTGTACTATTCTTTTACTCTTTGCATTTTCCGTTGTGGTATAAATGCAGCATCATTGCAAGGTTTTGCCTGTTCAAGTTTGACGGCTTCTCCATGTTTTTTTTGTTATCAATTGAACTAATGTTTGGTTCAATGAGAGTTTTTGTCTTTTGTTGTCCAAAAAGGTTACTACGCATTTCATCCACTCTTAAGCATGGAGCATAATAAACAAAGCTAAACGTTGGGATTGTTGTGATACGGTCACTTCTCACAATACGCTAAAATTACTTGTTCTCATTGTTCATTGTCAACTTCATCGTCTTCATGGTAGATGCTCTCTGCCATTTGCCAAACCTGAAGACTATTGTCTTCAGCTACGCTGGAAATGACCCAAGGCTCGTTCTTGTTCCATGAGAAGTCTGATATCTTTGCTTTATGGCCTCCATGAGAGAATAGCAGCTCCGGTGGACCGTCTTCCGCATCCAACTCTATCTCCAGTTGTTCTTCCCCGACCCTGAAAAACCCAAACCCGTTTTTCGTTAATGCTCGAAAATGTGTGGTTTTTCTTTGTCTGAAAATTTGTGTTCTGAGGGTAAAACAACAATGAAGGTACCTGTTCAGGTCCCAAACCATCAGCCTTCTGTCCTCCCCTGAAGATGCAAGTACTGTCTCATGGTTGGGATCCCACTCCACTTGGAATACCTCTCCCCTGTACCAATAACCATACTCTCAAGAAGGTTCTCGCATTATCTGAAAGAGCTCACAGAAATGAGACCCTCTCATCCCAAGTAGACAGCTTAGATACACACACACACACACACACAAGCTATATTGTATATTTCATCATGTAAGAATTCAGAGTGCTAAAGAACAAACATCAACCATGGCAGATAGATGAGACAGAAGAAATGAACTGTGGATAAGTAACGGAAGTGGAGAAACTGAGAAAGGTTAGGGAGAAGTACTCGTGGCTGCTCAAAACATGCAAGGGTGCATTCAGCTTGCGGAGGTCAAACAAGGCGACGGTGGAGTCTGAAGAAGCTGTAGCTAAAACCCATTCGTTGAACGGATTGAATGAAAGATAGTTCACCTGTGACAATAATACGTCATGAAAGAATCATGTTCGTATAGCTCCACTAAATGACTTCCAATTGATAAACTACAAGCCATCCATAATTACAATCTCTGGTCATTTCTATCAGTATTGTGTTCTAGCTTAATCTTAGGACTTCCAATTGTAGCAAAACAGGAAGTGGAGTTCTGCAATTTGTTTTTTTTTTCACCTCTTTCTCGTGAACTTTGGCTTGGTGTTGCATTTGGTTTGTCCTCAAGTCCCATATCATCAATCGACAATCATCACCCGCCGACCCAAATATGTTTTCATTCTTCATGTGCCATGACACATCTTCAACCACGCTTTCATGTCCCTGAAACCATTGCACACAGATCAAAAGATCAAGGAATAAAGTCAGAAGAAAACAACCCGTCTCAATAACAAAGTTATTTCCCCTTACCTCATACACATGCATTGCATTCAAAACGTTATCTTGAGCTGTAGCTGTAACATCCCAAAGGCAGATCTTATGATCTTGAGAACCACTCAGAAGATAACCCTCCTTAAAGGAGCTCCACGACAATCCGTACCCTTCTTTTACATGTCCCTTTAGCCTCAGGTCAGGACTGCAATCACTTGACTGGGTCTTTGCAGAATGTCGGGCATAATCAAACACAAGCACCTCACAGCCACTAGTCTTTGCACCAACAAGCGTCGGCTTCTGTGGCATACACCGCGCTCTGTTCACTTCTCCATCCACACGTATTTTCTGTCTTATCTCCACCTGCCACAAAAGCCGATAACTTTAGAAACTTGGTGGCAAACAGCAACAGAGCTTGACTTATCAGCGGTACACACACAAATTGCTTGGGCCAAAGGTAGACAATCTAAGCCAATATTCTTCTGCATTAGAATTTCACCCAATTTAGAGCTGAAAATTCGAATACCATGTTTAAGCTACTTTTACCCAAGAACAATTTCTCAGATAACATTTGAAGAAGACAAGAACGGAACTTATAATGTTATGACACGTACAATTTCGGCTTAGTCATTTTATCGAACAATTGGTACGCAAAGAATACAGCTTGCGAAAATCACCAGAAATGGCGAAGATTACAAAGCTTAAATACCTTAGGCACTATTGGGTCCTGGTTTCTGCCGCCCAATCCGGGTTCTGCGTCGGGTGTGGGGATGACGACGTCGGCGACCATCAGGAAATCCTGGGCGCCACCAGAGGTGTGGGTCCCGAGGATGAGTTTGTGTACGGCGAAGTAAGGATCCGCGGCGTACGGATGCGGCGCCGACGGGACCCAGTGGACGGTGAGTGACGGCCATTCGAGCGGGTGAGAGATCACCAAATCATACAGGAACGGCGTGTTCCTCTTCCACACTGAGAACTCCTCCTCCACCTGATCCAACCCCGCATCCTCCTTACCTTCTTCCGCCATTTCCTCTCTCTCTCTCTCTCTCTCAGTCACAGTCTCGCCTCTCTTCTCGTTATGACACTCTAGGTTTTCTGGTCGATTTTCCCGCCATAAAGAGGAAGGAACGAACTCCGAAGCAAGGGCCACATACTATTTCGCGGGTAATGTCCAAAACATGTGCCACTGTTTGGCTTATTTGTTATTAAAGTGTGCGTCGTTTAGTACTGAACACACAGCAGGCATGTGTCCTCCAAAACTGAAGGACAGCGTGACGTTTAGTTAACTGTGGACCGAAAGAGCACGCATTTAGTTGACTGAAAAGGCCGGAATACATCCACATCCTACCTATTAGGATGTACCGATTTCGTCAAATAATGCATTCCATTATACTACAAGAATATATTATTAAATAGTTAGACTGTAATTGTAAATTCCGATTACAATAAAGATTTAAATTAAATCAAGTGAAACCTTTTAATTGATTTTATGGTAACAGAAAATTCCAAGTTTCCAAGCAAATCTCAAATAGATATTTGCAGATCAAGTAATTTGCAGATCGTGTATATGTGGTATATAAAGATAGAATTTGGTTTATAAAAATGTGATTGAATGAATTTATGATGAGGATTACATCTCACATATATACAATGCATAAAAGATATAATGACATAAAACATGGAAGAAAACATGGAAGAGACATGGAGGAAAACATGGAGGAAATTAAGTATAATTAGTGACATAATTTTAGGAAAATAATTGTAATAGATAATAATAATATATCAATATACTAACATGCCCCCGCAAGATCGGTGTCGGATAGAAGACCGATCTTGGACCGAAGAAACTCAAACCGTTGGCGTGGGAGAGATTTGGTGAGAGCATCGGCAAGTTGATCCGCAGATGAAACATGAGAGACACGAAGCTTCTGAGCTTGAACGAGACCCCGAATGTAATGGTAATCAATGGCAACATGTTTCATCCGAGAATGAAAAACAGGATTCGCCGATAGATATGTAGCACCAATATTATCGCAGTAAATAACCGGCATATGAGAGAACATGACACCGAGCTCAGAGAGGAGAGACATAAGCCATTGTACCTCGGATGCTGTCGAGGAAACTGATTTGTACTCGGCCTCAGTGGAAGATTTGGCAGCAAAGCGTTGTTTCTTGGACGACCATGACACAGGAGTGCGTCCAAGATAGACAATGTGAGCTCCCGTCGAAGAGAAATCATCACGATCACCTCCCCAGTCGGCATCCGAAAATGCATGTAGTGAGAGAGGAGATGAACGTGAGATGAAAACTCCGAGGGATCGAGTGCCATTCAGATATCGGAGAATACGTTTGAGGGCTTGCAAATGATCCGAGCACGGACGATGCATGTATTGAGATAGTTTGTTGACGGCAAATGCAATGTCAGGCCGAGTGAAAAGAAGATATTGTAAGCTACCCAAAATCTGACGGTACTCGGTAGGATCGGCGAGAGGAGAACCAGCGTTGAGTCGGAGGCTCAAGGTAGATGGGAGCGGGGTTGGTACAGCCTTGGCATCTGCCATAAAATGTCGTGCAAGAACGTCAGAAATGTACCGTTGTTGAGTGAGGAGAACACCGGTTGATGTGCGGTTGACTTCGACGCCAAGAAAGTATGATAATGAGCCGAGATCTTTGATAGAGAACCGACGAGCGAGGACATCAATGAAGCTCTGCACATCCTTCGAGTGGCTACCCGTGATAATGATATCGTCAACGTACACAAGAACATAGATAGTAACAATATCACGGGTAAGAATGAACAATGAGGTATCAGAGAGGGAGTTAATAAACCCGCACTCAAGGAGAAATCGGCCAAGTTCATTGTACCACGCTCGAGGAGCTTGCTTGAGACCGTAAAGAGCTTTATGGAGCTTGCATACGAAGGATGGCTGATCTTTGTCGATGAAGCCTGGCGGTTGAGTCATGTATACATCATCGTCAAGAGTGCCTTGAAGGAACGCATTATTGACATCAAGTTGGCGAAGAACCCAACCTTTGGAAACCGCAATGCTCAAGACAACACGGATAGTGGCATGTTTGATGACAGGACTGAATGTGTCTGTGTAATCAATCCCAGGCCGTTGGTGAAATCCCTTGGCCACAAGACGAGCTTTGTACCTATCAATAGAGCCATCAGAGTGTCGCTTAGTACGAAAAACCCACTTACAACCAACCACGTTATAAGACGATCGAGACGGAACAAGAGTCCAAGTGCCATTGCGAAGCAAGGCATTGAACTCCTCAGCCATAGCATCACGCCACTTTGGATCCTTAAGAGCTTGCGAAACACACGTAGGTTCCACATCATGGGTTGGATGAAGGGCAGAGGTAAGACTAAGCTTGGGGTGCGGTTTAGTGATGTTGTTTTTGGAGCGAGTAACCATGATGGGATCCGGTGCATTAGTGCTGGTATGATTGCACTCGTCGACTCTTGCGTTCACTACGTTTTATCTATTTTCACCCGCTGGTCCGTTCACGGGCTTTCGACGTTTGAGGGCTTGCAAATGATCCGAGCACGGACGATGCATGTATTGAGATAGTTTGTTGACGGCAAATGCAATGTCAGGCCGAGTGAAAAGAAGATATTGTAAGCTACCCAAAATCTGACGGTACTCGGTAGGATCGGCGAGAGGAGAACCAGCGTTGAGTCGGAGGCTCAAGGTAGATGGGAGCGGGGTTGGTACAGCCTTGGCATCTGCCATAAAATGTCGTGCAAGAACGTCAGAAATGTACCGTTGTTGAGTGAGGAGAACACCGGTTGATGTGCGGTTGACTTCGACGCCAAGAAAGTATGATAATGAGCCGAGATCTTTGATAGAGAACCGACGAGCGAGGACATCAATGAAGCTCTGCACATCCTTCGAGTGGCTACCCGTGATAATGATATCGTCAACGTACACAAGAACATAGATAGTAACAATATCACGGGTAAGAATGAACAATGAGGTATCAGAGAGGGAGTTAATAAACCCGCACTCAAGGAGAAATCGGCCAAGTTCATTGTACCACGCTCGAGGAGCTTGCTTGAGACCGTAAAGAGCTTTATGGAGCTTGCATACGAATGATGGCTGATCTTTGTCGATGAAGCCTGGCGGTTGAGTCATGTATACATCATCGTCAAGAGTGCCTTGAAGGAACGCATTATTGACATCAAGTTGGCGAAGAACCCAACCTTTGGAAACCGCAATGCTCAAGACAACACGGATAGTGGCATGTTTGATGACAGGACTGAATGTGTCTGTGTAATCAATCCCAGGCCGTTGGTGAAATCCCTTGGCCACAAGACGAGCTTTGTACCTATCAATAGAGCCATCAGAGTGTCGCTTAGTACGAAAAACCCACTTACAACCAACCACGTTATAAGACGATCGAGACGGAACAAGAGTCCAAGTGCCATTGCGAAGCAAGGCATTGAACTCCTCAGCCATAGCATCACGCCACTTTGGATCCTTAAGAGCTTGCGAAACACACGTAGGTTCCACATCATGGGTTGGATGAAGGGCAGAGGTAAGACTAAGCTTGGGGTGCGGTTTAGTGATGTTGTTTTTGGAGCGAGTAACCATAGGGTGAGTGTTTTGTGGGGGAACAAGAGGTGGTGGTAGGTCAGTGAGTAGATGAATAGGTGAGCCAGGGAGGAAAGTTTGGGTTGGTGGTTCGGTAAGCATGGGATCAGGAGGGTCATGAGGCATCAGGTGCGGAGAAGGTTGAGGAGGTAGCAAAGGCGACAAAGAGCAGGTGAGAGGTATGGAGGAGTTCCTTGTGGGTGACGGGACAACACGGGAGACCAGCTCAGGCGATGACAATGTGTAAGAATGATCAGACCGGCATGGAACAAGGGAAGACCGAGAGATAGATGGGAATGGAGAAGAGTTAACCGGAGAGTGAGAGGTTGAAAGAAGCCTAGAGTAAGGAAATTCTGACTCAACAAACTCAACATGACGAGAGACATATAGACGGGAAGTGGCAACATGCAAACAAAGGAAAGCACTTTGGGTGAGAGAGTAACCCACAAAGACACAAGGGGCCGATCGAGGTTGTAGTTTATGACTAGAATAAGGACGAAGCCACGGGTAGCAAAGACAACCAAAGGTACGAAGTTTAATATAGTTTGGAGATGACTCGAAAAGAACCTCAAAAGGGGAACGACCGTGAAGGACCGAAGAAGGGAGACGATTGATCAAATAGACTGCCGTTGGAAAAGCAAAGTTCCAAAGGTCCAAAGGGATGGATGCTTGAGATAAAATTGTAAGTCCGGTTTCAACAACATGACGATGTTTACGTTCCGAAATACCATTATGCTCGGGTGTGTGGGGAGGAGAAGTAAGATGCGAAATACCATGACACGAAAGAAAATCTCGAAGTGCAATATATTCTCCACCATTATCCGAATAAAGAGTGACAATTTTTGTTTGAAAGCGATTTTCAACAAGAGATTTAAACTTTGGAAAAATAGTCGAAACATGAGATTTGTGCCGCATAGGGTAAAACCATGTATATCGGGTAAAATGATCAACAAAAATAACATAATACTTGTACCCGTCAAAAGAGGTGACGGGCAAAGTCCATACGTCCGAGTATAAAAGTTCAAGAGGTCGAGATGAGGTAAGCGTGGAAGTAGAAAAAGGACGTTTATGACTTTTAATAATAAAACAAGACTCACAAGACAATGGACGACTCGACAAAGAGGACAATGGAAGAGAAAAACGTGAAATAATAGAGTTTAAAACGTCTTTAGACGGATGACCTAATCTAGAGTGCCACTCAGAGAGAGAGGTCTTGACACTCGAAAGAGCAAGAGCCGAGGGCTTATTGGAGGATACAGACGAGGAATGGATAGTCGGCCATTCATACACACCGCCATTAAGGGGCCCGGTTAGCAGCGGTGCCCCCGTGTTGAGATCCTTCACCTGAAAGAAACGAGAAAAGAATTCCACCGAAACATTGTTAGAATAACAAAGTTGATGAATGGAGATGAGGTTCTTATGCATGGTAGGAACACAAAGGACGTTTTGAAGATTAAGACGACGAGAGTTAGAGGGAAGAGACGAGGAACCAGTGTGTGTTATGGCAAGTCCGGAGCCGTTGCCAATGATAACTTCATCTCCTCCTTGGTAGGGTGAATGGAGAGATAAATTAGCAAGGTCGGTAGTGACATGATGAGAGGCTCCCGAGTCGAGCAACCAAGATGATGGTTGAGAGGGGGAGACAGTTGCAGTCTGAGCCAATGGTTTCCAAGGACCAGTGGTATGAGGTGGACTGGAGTCGGCAGGAGAGCGGGCAACCGAAGGAGGAAGCAGGCGGCATGTTCGGGCACTATGCCCTTGAACACCGCAGAGTTGGCATTTTCCGAGGTATCCTCGAGACTGTGTACGCCATGGTTGAGATCGAGATTGAGTTGAGCGAGAACCCTGAGCAAGAGAAGGTCGGGGCATTGATGAAGGTTGGGGACCAAAACCAGTGGGAGGGCGCCAAGATCGAGAGGTATGTTGTGTTGCATAAGCCGAAATAGGAGGATCTGAGAGATGTATGGCAGCAAGGTCGACATCAAGACTCAACAGTTTCTCATGTAACTCGACAAATGAGATCGGAGTGTCTCGAGCATGTACGACGTCTTTGATAGTCTTGTACTCATCACCGAGGCCAGCGAGAATTAGATCAATGAGATCCTCATGATCCATAGGTTTGCCGAGAAGTGCAAGCTCGTCCGCTTTAATCTTGAAGAAGTTCATGTAGTCATTGACGGTTTTGGTGCCTTTTGTATGGCGCCGCATCTGGTCTTTGAGTTGTTTGATGTGGCCACGGCTAGATCGGCCATAAGTTTGGACTAGAGTAGCCCATGCATCTGCGGCAGAGGTGGTCGATACTACGAGAGCTTGACAGGGACTTGAGATCGCACCGAGGAGAGCCGAGAAAACAAGACGGTCCTGACGAAACCACGACTTATAGGTCGGGTTAGGAGATAGTACATTGTTGGTGATGATAGTGGTAGCCGGCACTTTGGCCGCATCGAGGAAGTCTTCGAGATTGTATCCTTGGAGTAAGGCACGAAGTTGAATACTCCATGTCAAGTAGTTCATGGCCGTGAGTTTCGAAACATTCGAAACATTGACGTTAATCAACGTCGAGCTCGGATTGTCGGAGTCAAAGATCGTGACCGTGTCGCTCGGGAGACCGGCAGAGCTAGAAGGAGAGTCGGAAGAGGCCATAGCGTAAAGAGAAGATCGGCGACGTGCGTAATAGCCGAAGGAGAAAAAAAAAAAATTCGAAGGAGAAAAAAAAATGTCTTTTGACTTAAGCTCTTGATACCAAGATAGAATTTAGTTTATAAAAATGTGATTGAATGAATTTATGATGAGGATTACATCTCACATATATACAATGTATAAAAGATATAATGACATAAAACATGGAAGAAAACATGGAAGAGACATGGAGGAAAACATGGAGGAAATTAAGTATAATTAGTGACATAATTTTAGGAAAATAATTGTAATAGATAATAATAATATATCAATATACTAACATATAACTCATAGTTTTTAATGAATGGAATTAATCTTTTATATTCTTTGTTATATATTCCACTTTCATTTTAGAAAGAAATATTTAGGATCAAGAATGAGACCGTTTTCATCTGTAAATGACGTATATACATTCGGATGTGAATAGTGTACATGAAATTACACGTATAAATAAAAGTAGAACATATGTATATATGATGGTCATGATATCAATTAAAAAAAATTCCTTATTGTATTTGATTATTATACCGAATGTTTACTTATTTTTTAATAAATTAAAATAAAAAGGAAAAAAAATAAGTTATCCTCACCCGAGCGCACGTATTTTTCCCTTTCTCCTCTTTTATCAGTGCTGAGAGTCTGAGACTTTTGCCTCAGAGAGAGAGAGACGCCATGGAAAGGCTTCTCCAGTCACCATCTTCGTCCTCCATAGCTCCTTTGAAATTCCAATCGAGGGCATCTTCTTTGCTTCCCCGATTGCTGCACTCGCCGACTCTCAGCTTTGCCTCTTCTCCCCGACCCGAGTCCCGCCGAGGCAACTCCATTTCCTGCAACCACGACCAGAAGCCGACTCCTCAATCGCCTTCGGTATCGATTCGGACAAGGAATTCCTTGATTGGTTCACTTTCTTCGTTTGTCAGATTCGATTCAGGCGATGGATCGAAACCTAAACCCGGATTTATCGAGCTGATCGCCCGGGGAGTTTGTGAGCAGCGAAAGGTATCATATTTACATGACAGTACTAAAAAAATCGGAAATCCCTGGTTTTTCTTCGCTCTCTGTTTGTATAGATGCTCGTTAAATCCTCGTTTCTTAGTTTGGTCACATCTCTGCTTGTTGGATGCGACAATTTCGCTAGCATTTTGGACCTGGTCGATGCCAAGGCAACGCTAATATAGAATTTCCTTGAGTGTGGACCTGGTTGATGCCAAGGGATCAACGCTGGTGGTGAATCTCTTTGAATTGGAGCTTTAGGGAGCATAATATTTGATTCCTCGTCGGTCGCAAAGAATTGTTCTTGACTTACATCTTATCAGGAAGAAAACTTTAGCTTACGTTATAATTGGGACTTAGCCAGATAGCAGGATCTTGGAATCTGATGCTAGTAGCCTAGTAGTTCGAGAATCTAGTGTTTTTTGGCACAGCAATCATTAGTCGAACCGATATTATTTGGTGGAACAATCAGCATTCATCTCTGTGGTTACATTCATCAACTGGGCTGCAATACCCTAGTTTCATTTGTGAGTTTTGGGATTATTTCATTCAATTTTCAGTGTAATCTGTTTCTTAGCTCCTTTTTTTCGTTTAGTCTTGTTTCGGTAGATCTCTTCGATTATAACTCTCTAATCGCGCATAGATAATCTACTCTCATTTCCTGTCCTGTGCATCTGCCTATAATGGCAGAATACTCGAATTGGTGGCGGATCTTTTTAGTTATCAATTACTGTTTTCCATGCATCTACTGTCAAACCTTGGTGGCAAATATAAGCTTGGGTTTGTGATGATAAGGCTTCGCTTGATAAACCCATTCGTTAACTTTTAAAAAGTTGAAAGTTTTTCTGTGGTTTTCACCTTTGTTGTATTCCATTTTTTGTTCTTGTACTGACCCATTGTGGTTTCAAGGGATATATTTGATCTGTGCAATCTGTGTTTTGCAGATCATATCTACTGGAACACTCATACCGATCTCTGCAATAACTGCCCTTTTACTCAACCCCATTCTTGCACCTCCTGCTTTTGCGAGCTTCCAAACTGCAGCAAAATCCGGAGGTGCCGCTGTAGGTAGCAAACTACTCCAAACTGAATTGCTGACAAGTGCCTGGACTGGTTTCTTTGCTGGTTGCCTGCACACTTTGTCTGGACCTGACCACCTCGCTGCTTTGGCTCCACTTTCCATTGGGCGGACCAGAATGGAGAGTGCTGCCGTTGGAGCCCTCTGGGGATGTGGCCACGATGCGGGTCAAGTCATATTTGGTCTGTTGTTTTTACTTCTAAAGGACCGGCTTCACATTGAAATCATTAGAACTTGGGGTACAAGAGTTGTAGGCTTGACCCTACTCGTCATCGGTGCTATGGGAATCAGAGAAGCATCCGAAATTCCCGCACCATGCGTTGCCTTGGAGAATGGAGAAACCGACATCAATAGTATACAGATGGAGAAAACCTCAACCCCGAAAAAGAAAATAGGGTTTGCGACATTTGCAACGGGGATCGTTCACGGGTTACAACCGGATGCCCTGATGATGGTTCTGCCTGCATTGGCCCTGCCATCTCGGTTAGCTGGGGCTGCATTTCTCATCATGTTCTTGGTTGGCACAGTAATCGCGATGGGAAGCTACACGGTGTTCATAGGGTCATGCAGCCAAGCCCTGAAGGAAAAGGTCCCGAGGATCACCGAGAAACTGACGTGGGCGTCTTCTCTCATAGCCATCGGCCTCGGGTTGGCGATCATCATCAGCCAGTTCTTCGGGTTCAGCCTCTACTGAGAAGCCGCCGGCATATAAAAACACCTTCAAGTCTGAGAACTTGTTCATCTCTGGAGCTCTAGAAGAAAAAGAATAACAATAATTTTGATTGTCCTTGTCTATCGCTTTGTGATTCTTTTCCCAATAGAGAAGTGTGGTTTATTATAGGTTTCGCAATTTGATACACAATATTTTCTTTTTTGGGGTTATGTATCTTATGGTGTCTAGGGGTGGCCATTTCGGTTATTAACGGAATAACCGAACCGAACCGAACCGAATAAGAG